AAAAAAGTGACTTTTTTCGACAACAGAACGAGTTTTCGGCGGTGAACTCACTAAACTAGAGCAAAATTCATACCATCCCATCAAAGAAGTTGACTTTCCGGATATAGGTGGAATTCTGATCCCAATGATACAACTGTTCATGCGAACAGACGATTTTCCTCCATTCTTCACTACCCTGTTCGATGTTACCATAAACTTCCTTAAAAAAATTTGGAAGAACCACTTTCTCTTCAATTTCAGCTACTTCATCACGAGATGGCCAAATATCACGTAAGAACACCTCTTTTTTCGCACCATCTTTAGATATAACCCCTAAAAGCAACCGATTCTAAAAATATTCAAAGATGAAACGATCCGAAACAAAAGTAATGTACCAAGTGGTTCTTTTTCAAAGTCAATATCAATGCGACCAGCTATACCAAAAGCGACAACAAGAACCGGTGAAGCAAGGTAGTTGGCTTTAACATTTGGGTGAATTCGTCCTTCAAAATTTCTATTCCCCGAAAGTATACCAGCAACGACAAGATCGTTCTACAAATGCTGCTTAAATCAGATGAATTTCCAATTAGTGTAGAGCGAACAACCAGGATGTAAAAAATAATGACTTCTTTATGTATGCAAAAAAGAATTTTTTCTAAATCCAATCCAAAGGCTAAAACAAGTAAACCACACGTTTTCGATGGCCTTGATGACCTCCTTGTGAAGTGGACCGCTGTTACCGATACACGTCATACAACCAAATCCAGCGACGTAGTATCCTAACTGTTCAAGATACGGTAGCAGTGCACTTTCTTTTAAGTATCGACTAACGACATGAGAACCTGGTGACAAACTTGTCTTGACGTACTTTGGTACCGTTAAACCAAATTCAACAGCTTTTTTGGCCAATAAACCAGCCCCTAAAATTAAAAACTTTCCGAAAAACAAACCTCTGATTCTAATCTTTTCTAGGAAGGGTAAAGCAAACCCAGCATAACAGATGGATTTGATGTATTTGTACAGGAAGTAATAGCACTGATAACTATTGACCCGTGTTTTAATGTATACTGGTTACCGTCGATCACGACAGGAACAGTTTTTTGCACACTTTGAGGGCTGATACCAAAACCCTTAAAAAAACATTTGAAAACAAATTATCTGGAAACATTTGTGCATCTGTTCTACCAGAAGAACCTGTATCAAAAGATGCAGATAAAATACAAACCGTGAACGATAACGGACTAGCCAAACTGTTACGAAAGTTAGCTTGTAAAGAGGTTAGCTCAATTCGGTCTTGCGGCCTTTTTGGACCGCTGATGCATGGAACAACCTGACTAAGGTCCAACTCGAATACCTAAAGGATCTAGTAAGGTGCAGATGTACAACAGATGACTCCATTCAATTTACCTAAACCACAAATATGAACAATCCATCAGCACGTTGTTTCCATAAGCTTTAATAAAGGATATAATTTTATCCAGAAAACAAAACCTTAGTATAAACTCGCTCCATATGTTCCGAATTATGGTCGACAAACAATTGAACCTTTTTTAAATATTCTGCAGCCCTTCTGACAACATGTTCTTCACGTCCTGTGTTCTTGTAATAGCTGAAGTGTAAACACATTAAGCCAGATGAAGGTGTAACACACATACAGCCAGTAGAAATAAAATTTGTTGTTTGAGTGAACTAACGTTAAAGTTCTAGCATCCGGCGGAAAAAAACCAATAGTGGCACCATATTCAGGGCACATGTTAGCTATTGTAGCACGATCAGCAATACTCAGTTCCGTAACACCAGAACCAAAAAATTCAACGAATTTCCCAACAACACCCACGTCACGTAAATTCTGAAAAAAAATTACTGAACACATCAATATTCAAAAAATAAATAAATAAATGGTAAAAAAATATAGTGACTTTGAAACACACCTTGGTAACTGCAAGAACAAGATCTGTGCTGGTTACGTGCTGAGGCAGCTTGCCGATCAAACGGTATCCAATTACCTCCGGGATAACCATCGTAATAGCTTGACCAAGCATTACAGCCTCAGCCTCAATACCTATATCGAAGACAAACCGATAAAATATGAAGATTATAAATTTGAACGTCAACTTGGCAACTAGGTTTAAAAAACCACTGCACAAAACTTACCTCCAACACCCCAAGCCAGAACTCCAGAACCATTATTCATTGTTGTGTGCGAATCAGTCCCAACAACTGAATCGGGGTAAACAAGATCATTTTCATCTGCAAACACCAATCGAGCAAGATACTCCAAATTTATTTGGTGGCAAATACCAGATCCAGGAGGTATTATTAACAGTCTTTTGAAAGCATTTGCACCCCACTATAAGAAAAGCTTCAAGAAGAATGTAAAAACTGGGATTTCCGCAGTGAAGTAAAAAGAATATAACTAAATCAAAAAAATTGGTTACCTTGAGAAATTGGAAACGCTCTCTGTTACGTTGAAATTCTTTCTGCTGATTCTTCAAAAGAGCCTCGGAACTATAAAAAAACTCATTGTTAGACGTATTTCTTAATGGGTGGTGTCTTTTTCATAACACTCAAAAAGAACTGTAACCTTGCAATGAAACAAGAGCGCAACCTAGGGCAATATCAAAATTCCTTAAACCTGCCAAAAAAGTCCACTTGAACTGAGTGATCGATAACTAGATCAACAGGACAAACTGGATTGATTTTTCCTGGGTCGCCGTTCAATTGCTTGACCGCATCACGCATTGCTGCCAAATCTACTACAGCAGGTATACCACTTAAAATAATGATAGCGTTTAGCATCAGAATTACACTCAAAATCAAATTGAAAAAATATTTTACAACAATTCACTAAATAAGGTAAAATAGAAAAGCTGAAAGTTCTAAAATTCTTTCAGGATACTCACGTAAAATCTTGTGATAAGACTCGTGTCGGTTTAAATGGAATTTCTGCAACTTCCTTTTGCGTATTCTGCCAGTCAAGGATAGTTTCTACATCTTTTTTGTAAATGCTGAATTCATCACAGTTACGTACTGCAGATTCCAACAAGTATCTGATAGAAATTGGAAGTTTCTCTATAAAAATTTCAAGAATTTTTTTAATCCTATAAAATGGTAAATTATATGGCTGTACAACTAAAACATATTTGTCATTAAAAGCATGCTGAAATCCTGCGGAAAAAGTGATATAAGTCTAGAACAATAAAGCAGTAACTTAAAAACGAAGATTCTCAAGCAAAAATATGAAAAAACAGTCTTACTGTATCTAACAGGATCGATTGCCGCTATATCATAATATTTGTATGTATGACCGTCCACAGAAAGCTCTTTAAGCAACGACTTGTATGCCATTACTGCAACAAATAGACTGATCAGAAGTCAATCCGAAAAGGCAAAATTTGCATATCGCATTTATTGACTGTATAAAACTCGAAACCGAAGTATCAGCAACCACTTTTGCCTATATCTCAAAACGTGCGAACGGACAAACATATACATATACA